AGGCCTTTGCTGATCGGCGCGTCGTCGCCGTGTCGGCAGGGCCTATGCACAGCTTCGCCCTCACCGCCGACGGAGCCGTCTGGAGCTGGGGCATGGGCGTCTTAGGCCAGTTGGGCCACGGCGACGAAGAGCCGTTGCTGCTGCCGAAGAAGGTCGAGGCCTTTGCTGATCAGCGGGTCGTCGCCGTGTCGGCGATGGGGCATCACAGTATCGCCCTCGCCGCCGACGGCGCTGTCTGGAGCTGGGGCTATGGAGGCGAAGGCAGGTTGGGCCACGGCGTTCAGCAGAACCAGCTGCTGCCGAAGAAGATCGAGGCCTTTGCGGGCCAGCGCGTCGTCGCTGTGGCGGCTGGAGACGCGCACAGCCTCGCCATCACCGCCGACGGCGCTGTCTGGAGCTGGGGCGGTGGAGGCGGGGGCCGGTTGGGCCACGGCGACACGCAGAGCCAGTCGCTACCGAAAAAGGTCGAGGCTTTGGCAGGGCAGCGCGTCGTCGCTGTGTCGGCGGGATCCAAGCACAGCCTCGCCCTCACCGCTGACGGCGCCGCTTGGAGCTGGGGCGATGGACACGGCCGGTTGGGCCACGGCGACACGCAGAGCCAGTCGCTACCGAAGAAGGTCGAGGCTTTGGCCGGCCAGCGCGTCATCGCTGTGTCGGCTGGAGGCGGGCACAGCATCGCCCGCACCGCCGACGGCGCCGTCTTTACCTGGGGCGAGGGTGGCCACGGCCGCCTAGGACACGGAGACGACCTGTCCGACCAGCTGCTGCCCAAGAAGGTCGAGACGTGGGCCTGACCCACCGCCCTCTCGTCGTGGTTGTGGGGCGCGCGGCGCGCGGCAGTTCTCCTAGGATCCCGTGCGCGAGAGGTTTGGAGCGCGTCTGGAGTGCGTTCGCCCTCCTGGCACCTGGGACCCAGTGTGCCGACTGCCGTCCGACTGTCGTCGCTGTTTGTTGTCTGTTCTCGACTGTCGTGTGCGCGTGTTGGCGACGGTATATCATTTCCCACTATGCCACGTCGCCCATTCCCGGGAACGGCGACGTGGCATAGTGGGAAATGATACAGCAGCCCAGTATAGAGCCGTATAGCCGTACCGGCCCTACCGGTCGCCAACTGCAGGTCCGGCTCCGGGGTTTTGTGTGTGAGAGGGGCGTATAGTGACAAGAAACTGACGCACGCGCCCCATTCATGGAACGCTCTTTCTGTGCGCACTGCACCCCCGGGGTGTGTACAGGACAGGACAAGTCTCAACCGAGCCATCGCGGCAGGCGATGGCCCGGCGCACTGCTAGCTCACCACCTCCCCGTCAATCAGAGCTAGCTAGCCGACTCTGCACATCCCTACGCAGCTCCGCGACGGTCGCGCGCATCGCGGCCTTCACATCGCGGGCGGCGGTGGCGGAGACGGCGAGGCCGAGGCTGGATTTAGCCACAGCCACGCTCTCATCGCCGACGGAGCCGTCTGAAGCTGGGGCGCAGGAATCATCGACGCCGCCGCTGACGACGCGCTGACCGACGACGTCTGCTGCCGCCGCCGCCGCCTCCGCCGCCCGCGCCTCCTCGTCCCCACCCGCCACCCACGCCGCCCCCACCATCCCAGCCTCCACCGCCCGCGCCACCTCCTCGCCACGCGCCGCCCCCCCCACCACCTTCTTCGCGTAGAAGCGCATGCTCCGGTTGAAGTGGTCCTCGTCCACCAGACGCTTGTGGCGCAGCCTCTTTTGCCGCCTAAGATCAACCGCAAGGGGGGTTCACACTCGTCGCCACGCTGCTCGTGGCCCGATGTAGCCTCCTTCGCCGGCAGCGGTAGCGGCTGCAGTAGCCGGCGAGGCTGAGGGAAAGTAGGGCGAGGGCGGCACCCAGCGCCACCTGAACCCTCCTCCGCGGCTCGAGCCCGTCCGCCATCTGCGTGTAGATGGTGATGGGGGTGAGCGGCGGCAGCGGAGGGGGCGGCTGCGGCGGTCCCGGCGGCGGCGGCTTGGGCGAGGGAGGGGGCGACGGCGGCGGCGAGGGAGGGAGCGGAGGGGGCGGCGGCGTGGGAGGCGGCGGCGGCGGCGGAGGCGACGGCGGCGGCGACGGTGAGGGCGGCGGAGGCGACGGCGGCGGCGGGAGTGGCGGCGGAGGCGACGGCGGCGGCGGGAGTGGCGGCGGAGGCGACGGCGGCGGCGGAGGCGACGGCGGCGGCGGCAGTGAGGGCGGCGGAGGCGACGGCGGCGGCGGGAGTGGCGGCGGAGGCGACGGCGGCGGCGGGAGTGGTGGCGACGGCGACGGCGGCGGCGGGAGCGATGGCGGCGGCGGAGGCGGCAGTGAGGGCGACGGCGGCGGCGGGAGCGATGGCGGCGGCGGGGGCGGCAGTGAGGGCGGCAGAGGCAGCGATGGCGGCGATGGCGGCGACGATGGCGGCTCCGGCCCGCATTGGCTACACTCGCCTGGGAAGTCCAACGCCACTTTGTCGCACGCCGCCCGACGCTCGAAGCGCCCGCTGCCAAGTCGAGACTGGAGAAAGATGATGCGCTCTCCGCACGTGCCGAGGTCAAGGTAAAGGGCCTTGTCCACCAAGCGAGTGTCCCTGACGGCGTCGCAGGCGGCGGAGCCGCAGAGGAGCGGCGGAGGCGACGGCGGCGGCGGGAGCGATGGCGACGGCGACGGCGGCGGCGGGAGCGATGGCGGCGGCGGAGGCGGCAGTGAGGGCGACGGCGGCGGCGGGAGCGATGGCGGCGGCGGAGGCGGCAGTGAGGGCGGCAGAGGCAGCGATGGCGGCGATGGAGGCGGCGATGGCGGCGACAACGGGGGCTCCGGCCCGCATTGGCTACACTCGCCTGGGAAGTCCAACGCCACTTTGTCGCACGCCGCCCGACGCTCGAAGCGCCCGCTGCCAAGTCGAGACTGGAGAAAGATGATGTGCTCTCCGCACGTGCCGATGTCAAGGTAAAGGGCCTTGTCCACCAAGCGAGTGTCCCTGACGGCGTCGCAGGCGGCGGAGCCGCAGAGGAACGGCGGAGGCGACGGCGGCGGCGGGAGCGATGGCGGCGGCGGGAGCGATGGCGGCGGCGGAGGCGGCGGAGGCGGCGGAGGCGACGGCGGCGGCGGGAGCGATGGCGGCGGCGGGAGCGATGGCGGCGGCGGAGGCGGCGGAGGCGGCGGAGGCGGCGGCGACGGCGGGGGCTGCGGCCCGCATTTGCCACACTCGCCTGGGAAGTTCAACGCCACTTTGTCGCACGCCGCCCGACGCTCGATGCGCCCGCTGCTGCCGAGGCGAGACTGAATAAAGGCGATGTGCGTTCCGCACGTGCCGATGTCAAGGTGCAGGGCCTTGTATATCAAGTGAGTGTCCCTGACGGCGTCGCAGGCGGCGGAGCCGCAGAGGAGAGGCGTCTGCATGGAGCTTGGCGCCGGTGCGGGGACGGCCAGCTGCGCGTGCGTCACCGATCGCGCTTGCACCTTTCCCAGTGCTAGTGTCGGCTTCCGCGGCAACCTGCTTGCCGTCGCCCCCGCCAGCGGCAGCGGCGGCGGCGAGAGCGGCGGCGGCGGCGGGAGCGGCGGCGGGAGCGGCGGCGGCGGCGGCGGGAGTGGCGGCGAGAGCGGCGGTGGCGGCGGCTGGAGCGGCGGCGGTGGGCTCAGGTGTGGGAGTTTGGGCAGCCACAAGGAATGGGAGGGCGGCGGCGGAGAGCACTCGCAGATGCCGTCTCCGCCTGGGAGAGGCGCGTTCACACTGAGTGCGACCGTCTTCTCGCAGCTGTTCCGTCGGTCGTCCCAGGCCTGGCCAGAAAGGGGGAAGCATGGGGGTCAGACTCAGGCCACAGAGCTGGTGGAGGGGCGCCGAGACGGGGGGCGGGTCACGCTCCCCGACGGCGGTCATTCCCAAATCTTTGCAGAACGCAGCGCAGCTCGAGGACGCGACGAGGACCAGACAGGGCCCGCAGATTGCTGACGACGGCCACGCCCACTCGGGGCGCAATAAACACGGAGAGGTGATGGGCATATCTTTGCCAGAACGGCGTGCAAGCCGTTCACACAAGCCGTTCACAGAAAAACACCATCCCGGACAACGACGCACAAGCACAGACAGTCGAGAAGGGAGAGAGACAGCAACGACAGTCAGAAGTCAGAGCTGGGTCCCAGGAAGGCGATGACGGCCTCTAGTGTGAGCTCTAGCTAGTGAGCTCATACGCACGCCGGCAGATCGCGACTATATACATACAGCTAGTTAGGAGCCGACCGACCCTCGCGTCCGGTGCTCACCGACGGCCGGGCGGGCCGCCCGCCCACGCGCCGCCTACGCGCAGCGCGTGCGCCGCAAACTCGCCCGCCGACAGCGCTGGCCAGTCTCCATCGGCCGTCGCGAGAGGCCTGCCCGGCTGTCGCCGCGGGGCCCCCGGACCCTGAGTTGACCAGGGGTTGTGCGCTGGGCCCTCCTGCTCGGCTCCAGCCAGTAGACAAGTCTTGTCATCAACAGAGTAGATGGATCTGACCTCGGGGCCGATGTGACCAAGCGCTGGTAGCGTGGTTTTACCTCACACCCACGGTCTCACAGTGTGCCGGCAGTCGCCGAGCAGTGTCGCTCACACAAGCCGCAGCACAAGTGACTGAGGGCCAGTGAGGGCGAGCCCATCGCTGTCACAGCTGTGGCAGCCGCACAGTAGGCTGTGTCAACTGTGCAGAGTGTGTGAGCAGCAGAGGAGCTGCTCTCCAGGCTTCAGGCGCAAAGAGCTGCATGCCACCGAAAGCGCTGTCGAGGTTCGCCGAGCGCGGCGAAATCCGGGGACGCCGTCACCGACGAGCGCGTTGGACTTTTCACTCCGGACAAAGACGGGGACACAGCGGACGGTGCGGGGTGTGTCCCCGTCATAGCGGCGAGGCACGGGACCGTCTGTGGCGAGGTGGGTCGCGTCCCCGGATTTCCTCAACTCACGGTCCGCTCCCTCTAGGGTTGCGGCTTGCACACGCGGAATCGTGTCGGCGCGTAACTCTTTACTGTACTGTTAGAGGGGCAGCTGTACTGAGAGAGTGATGTGAGAGTTACATTAACCCCAGAGTCTCTACTACAAGACAGGAGCCAGGAGCCCTAGCTCGCAGGCTAGTATTCGTACTAAGTTAGCCGTGGGACAAGGTAGATGCAGCCCGGCGACGGGCACTCTCCCGGCTGTGTCACTCCCGGCACGCTGTGGCAAACGTGTACGAAGCGTCCGACGGCTGGATGCCCATGGTCTCGCCACGCGCGCCGCACCGCGTGATGAGCTCGCCAATGGTCACGACGGCGGCGGGGCCGAAAGTGGACAACGTGTCCGCAGGCGACTCGGTGGTGTACTTGTTCATCGACACTGAGACGCTAGCGCCGACGGAACCGGCGGGGCGCGTCGGGGAGATGAAGGTGGCGAGGAGTGAGCTCTGCGGCGCCGAGAGCTCAGAGATGGCGCGGAGCAGCGCCTCCAGCTCGGGTGGCTTCAGGTACGGCACGAGGCCCTCGAGTAGCCACACGGACGGGCGGCGATCATCGAAGCCTCGCCGCCGCAGCTCATCGACCCAGCCGGCAGGACCGAGACTCAAGTCACAGCCCACGCTCACGAGGTGAGGTGGGGGTGGCACCCCAGCGGCCCCGAGTAGCGCCCACTTCTCATCGAGCATCCCCTGGAAGTCGAGCTCAAACACCTTCCCGCCGCCCAGGCTGCCAGCAAGCCGCACGCAGCGGAAGTCGAGCCCCGCGCCGACGATCACGAGCTGAGGCGGCAAGCCAGCAGAACGCTCCAGTGCCGCTGCGATTTCTCGATCGAGATGCCACGTGCGGAGCGCCACCATGTCGGCGGCAATCGTGGCGGGCATCAGACAGGCTAGCTGCCGCCGCAAAGGAAACAGGAGCACGAGCATCCTCGTCGCCCAAGGCGCGCCACCATGCAACGAGAAGAGACTCTCTGACGCAGTGCACTTGAACAGTGGGTGCAGGCGCCGCGACTCTACAGCACGCAGAGCAGCTATGGCAAACGCGGTGCTACCGACCTTGGCACGCCCGGCGTCCGCATGGGCAGCGGTTGTCGATGCACCCCCCGTATGCAGAATACACTCCGCAATGCCCATCTGATAACGCCGCTCCGCGCGCGATGCACTCGGCGCGAGGCCGCGAGTGCCTCGAGGCCAAGAGAGCCGAGCGTCTCAGTGTCAGGGCCGGTGTTTGCTCTTGTTTCGACACCGATATCGTCGAGGAGAACGCTGATTCAAAATCCGCTGTTCACACTTCACATAAGCGTCCCCTCCGCCGGACATGGTGCAGTGCGGGAATGACCGGGCGATGCGGGCGGGGTGTGGGTCGATCTCGAGCGATCTCGGTCGATCTGGGTCGATCTCGAGCGATCTCGAGCGATCTCGAGCGATCTCGAGCGATCTCGGAGACCGCCTCGTGCATCAGTCGCGCCGCGTTGACTCTCACGGGCTGGTCGGTGTCGATGCGCGAGCAGGTCAGGGTGAGGCCGAGCCTGTCATTCTCGCGCGATCTCGGGTGAGCTCGGCCGATCTCGCGGTGCGGGAGCGGGCACGGCGGCGGCAGCGTGGCCTCTTGAAGTCGGCGCGCAACGTCGCCATGTACAGCGGGTACCACTTTGTGAGCAGGCCTAGAAGAAGCGAGCTTGAAGTCGGCGCGCAACGTCGCCATGTAGAGCGGGTACCACTTTGTGAGCAGGCCTAGAAGAAGCGAGCTTGAAGTCGGCGCGCAACGTCGCCATGTAGAGCGGGTACCACTCTCTTTGTGAGCAGGCCTAGACGAGGCGAGCTGTCGGGTGCCGCTCACCACGTCGCCATGCAGAGCGGGTACCACTCTCTTTGTGAGGTTGGCCGGGGACGAGGAGGTAGGAGAAGCGGCGCATCGCGCGCGCCTGCGGAACAAGGGCCAGCAGTCAGGGACTGAAACGTGCTGGCCGGTGCGGCGTCCGCATCCCGCGCACCCCCGGCAGCAGCGAGAGGGAGGAGGGCGAGAGGGGCGGCGGCGGCGGCGGCGCGGACGGCAGCGCGAGGCGGAGGAAGGCGGCGGTGAGGTCCTGCGAGGGAGGCTCCCCCCGCAACAGCCACCTGTACCCACGCAACCTCGGGGGGTGACCTCGGGGTGTGATCTCGGGCCATCTCGGGGTGTGATCTCGGGTAATCTCGGGTGATCTCGGGGGTGATCTCGCGGGGGATCTCGCGGCGCCCAATCGGCTGTGATCTCGGGCCATCTCGGGGTGTGATCTCGGGCCAATCTCGCACCCGATCCGGCCGTGGCAGTACGGCTTGAGGTTCGGGTTCGCGCCAACCCACGACTGAAGCTCGACCTGCGCGGAGATACGCCCGAGATCGCACCCGAGATCGCACCCGAGATTCGCCAACCCACTACATTGTAGGGGGAATGGGCGTGTCGTGGACATGTCGTGGACATGTCGTGGACATGTCGTGGGCGTGTCGTGGGCGTGTCGTGGGCGTGTCGTGGACATGTCGTGGACATGTCGTGGACATGTCGTGGGCGTGTCGTGGGCGTGTCGTGTCGTGGACGTGTCGTGGGCGTGTCGTGGGCGTGTCGTGGGCGTGTCGTGGGCGTGTCGTGGACGTGTCGTGTCGTGGACGTGTCGCGGGCGGTCGCGTGGGAGGTATACGGGCGGTGGGCGGTGGGCGGTGGCGGTGGCGGTGGCGGTTGCGGTGGCGGTCGCGGTGGCGGTGGCGGTGGGCGGTGGCGTGTGCGCCTGCAGCGCCGCGAGCTGCTCCTCCACTTCAGTGCGCAGCTCGTGCGTCGCGCGGGCGACATTGTCGCGGAGCAGCTCGCCAACCTGCTGGGAGGTGTGGGGAGATATGGGGAGATATGGGGAGATATGGGGAGATATGGGGAGATATGGGGAGATATGGGGAGATATGGGGAGATATGGGGTCGCCGACCTGTCGGGAGAGTTGAGAGAGTTGTAGTCGAAGACACACCGGGGGAGGATCGTTTGTGGTGTGTGGTGTGTTGTCGCGGGTCGGCTCGCCAACCTGCTGGGTGAGGGAAGGGTCCGAGAAGCTTCACGCAGTGCGGTGAGGGAAGGGTCCGAGAAGGCAGTGCGGTGAGGGAAGGGTCCGAGAAGGCAGTGCGGTGAGGGAAGGGTCCGGGAGGCTTCAAGCGAGGTGGGTGGGAGGCTATTGGTCCCTCGGACAAGCCGCCCGCCTGCCGCACCAGCGAGCCGCCGCGCTGCGCCGTCAGCGAGTTGAGCGTCGACAGCGAACCGTCGAGCACTGCGCCGCTGGTGAGGTCCTGCGACGGGCACAGGGACAGGGACAGAGGCGGCTGAGAGAGCGATCGCCGTCGGAAGGTTCGGGGACAGTTCGGGCGGCCGATCCTGGGCGCTCGAGATATGGGGAGATATGGGGAGATATGGGGAGATATGGGGAGATATGGGGAGATACGGCCGGTCCTGGGCGCTCGAGGCGCGCCGGTCGAGCGGCAGACCCTCGCGGCTGCTCGAGCCCCACGACGCGCGCCGCTTGCGACGGGACGACGGCGTCGCACACGCCTCTTCCGAGCGCGAGGCTGCCTCCGCCTGCGGACCCGACCGGTCGGCTGGCGAGCGCGGCGAGCGCGCGCGCTGCCTCGACCCGTCCATCGAGACGACGATGCCGGCGCGGGCGACTCCCACGGCGGTCAGCAGCAGGCCGAGCGGCACCAGAATCGGCAGCAGCAGCAGCGTCAGAGGCGCGAGGAGCAGCAGCGTCAGAGGCGCCACGATGCACGCGACGCCCGCGGCGGCGAGGCGCATTGAAGGCATCATCAGCGTCTCAAATGCCTTGTCGACTACCTGCTGGGTCGCCTCCTCGAGCGACTCGATCCTGCTGCGCCGACGGCGCCCAGCGGCCTCCCTGGCGGTCGATGGGCCGGCGAAGGTAGACTCTTGCGACAGACGCGTGCTTGACCGGCGGCGACGCTCGCCCAGCAAGGTCTCGGGCGTGCTCCGTCGCGCAATGACCGTCTCGCGAGGCGGCGCGCTACGCCGTGATGACTCGGCTGTGGCGGTTTCCGGCAAGTTGGCCTTCATGGTTTTATGAAATGAACTCGGGGGCACGGGACGCGGCACAAACGGGGCACAAACGCCAGGCTACAAAGACGGGGAGGCACGTAGTGACGCAGGGGAGTCTAGGCGACGGCGGCGTCCTCCGACGCCGCGGCGAGCCTGAGCTCGGTCGCAATCTCTTCCGCCGCCGCGAGCTGCAGCGCGACTGACATGCGCTGGGCCTGCAGCGAAAGCCACGACCGCGTCGACCAGCTCGCCTCGTCCTCGTGCTGCCGCTTCGAGAGCTTGTTGCGCACCTTGTCCTTCATCTGGTCTAGGGAGGCTAGAGCTGCATCAAAAGAGAATCTTATCGATCAACACTTTCGATAGACCGAAAGTAAGATCGTTCGGTGCAGAAACCCCGGCACTGCCCATGTAACGCAATCGGATGAATCCAGCAGACACGAATAAGGCCGCTGGTTGTGTTATTTGTATTCTGTCGCGTCGATCGGCGGCGCCCGAGACGGGTGAGACGAATCGAGACAGATCGAGGCTAGAGCCGTACTCTTTGCTATTGCTTCTTTGTGGAGTGGCTATACGTACAGCTACAGGGACGGGTGAAACTAGAGGGAGGAAAAGAGGACGGTGTGCGTGTACGAGTACGTGTACGTGTGTAGTGCCCTACGATGATCGATGTGCAACTGCATGTGGCATATGTGAGGAACGGACCTACGGAGTCTGGATAAAAGACAGTCTATAGTCGGTGCGGCGCGGCGTGTCCGCCACGCGGCGCGCGGATACGGCTCTATCGCGGGGCGGGGGCGCCCGGCCCAGGCCGTCGTGCGTTCGGTAAATTACGAGATATACATGAGATGTACGTCACGGCGACTGTCGAGGGGGCAAAACCCCAAATTCATGAACTTAAATATTTTATAAGGTGGTAATTACATTTTACATTACGTCACATTTAACATTTAACATTCAACATTTTCGTACCACGCACGCGTACGTAGCACTCACGGCTGCCCACGCCTCGCGCCGCGACCCGCGTCCCATGACCAAACCCATATCAAAGGCGAAAGGGCCGGAGCCTGTCGCCACCTGCAAGGGGAGTAGGGGTTGCTGCCTTTGGAGCAGCGGGCTTCACAAGACACTCACATGGCCCATGCGGTAACATGTCCCACGAACCGACATGTGAGAACGCACAGAACCCTTCAACCTTTGCCGCGCTTCAGCCGCGTGCGACCTGAGCCTCGAGGGCGGTGATCTTGCTTCTTGGCCTCAAGCTTCTCGACCTTGCTCGCCAGCGCAGCGAGAGCCGAGCCCTCGGGGAGCGGGCTGCGCCTCGGCGGCACACTGGGCAGGGACGGAGCCTCGTTCCCACTGGGCAGGGACGGAGCAGCGTTGGCTGTGGGCGAGCACAGCGGCGTGCTCTTGAAGATGGTGGTGTGCATCGAGGAGCAGCGGCCCTCCAAACATTCGGCAGGCGGGCGAACTCCCACGGTATAGTAGTAGAGCGCTACGGAGCGGCGTGCGCGGCCGAGCGGCGCGGCGAGCGGCACGGGATGGCCGTGGTACGAAAAGTCGGTGGTGGAGAAGGCGACGAAGCGGCCCATGGTTGGCAGCACGCGCGTGGCGCAGGCGGTGAGGTTGCGGTCCCACAGCTCGAGATGCCCTCCGTACGCCTCCGGCCACTCGTCGTTCAGGTAGACGAACGTGTTCACGCGGCGGTGCCACGACGGCTTGCGCGGCAGGTGGTTGAAGTCGGCATGCACGCCGAGCCGCCCGCCAGTTGCTGTGATGTGCACGCCGCTCCCACTATAGCCAGGGTCGGGGCGCAGCTTCGCGATGCCCGTCAGCTGCTCGAGCCAGCGGACGAAGGGCGGAGCGCGCAGCGTGGCGAAGAGCAGCCGCGTCGCGCCACCCATCGCGCGCTCGCTCGTGATCTGGCTCTTGTGCAACTCGCGTGCGCCACCGTTGAAGCAGCGGGACGCACCCCTCGCGCAGCCGTGCTTGTCGATGCTCTGCGGCAGTTCCTGCGCCACTGCGCGCAGCAAGCACGCAGGGAACACGCCGTCCGCCGCCGCGTGCGGGAATGGCGCCGCCGCGGCGTACGCGGCGGACGCCGCGCGGCGCGAGTGCTCGGAGGTGGAGAGCGTCGGCGCCATGGCGTCGAGCACGTCCGACACGTTCCACGCCTGGTCGCTGCACAACGGCAGAGCCGCAGCCATTCTTCTGTCTTGCTCCTTGTCTATGAGACGCGCTGTCTAATACCACCCGAGAAAACACAGTCTCCCGTGTCCGAGCTTTTGTGCGCCCGATCGCCCCATTAAGCACGTGCGAAGGGTATCCGAGTGCCGTAAACTCCCTGAGCTTGCTCGTCACGCTGAGCGTGAATCCCTCGTCATCGCTCGCCATCGCGACCACCTTGACAAACAAACCAGAGCTCACCCGGCAGTACAACGAGGGGTACAAGGTCGACCTCGCGGAACCCCCCACGCTGGCCCGGGAGGATGCGATGAGGTGAATGAAGTTAAGCTCTGGACGCCCCTCCTCAAGACCTCCTCGGCGGGCGTTGGCAACGCCTCGAGCGGCGGCACGCCCGCCTCCGTTGGCCACTCCTACGCCTTCGGCAACACCGAAGAGAAGGCCCGCCGCCTAAACATGGGCTGCAAGGCGCGCGGGCAGCCCGGCCAACCCTTCGACCACAAGAACGGCCACGGCTACGTCAAGGCGCATCGCGGTTTCTACCACGACGCGATCTACTTTGTCAAGCGCAACAACTTCAACCTGCTGCTCCACGAGACGTTCGGCGGCGGCTTCTCGCCCACCGCCGTTCTCAAGCTGCGCCGCCTCGCGCGCAAAGCCGCGCGCGGCAGCGTCGACCGCACGGCCTACTCGCCCAAGTACTCGCTTTCTTTTATGTCCCACCATGCAGAGCGCATCTCTCTCTCTGTTGTGCGAGGCGTGAACCGCGCCATTCGCTCTCACCTGGCAACCCTGTCTGCACGTCTCGCGCGCGCGTGAACAGGGCTCCAGGCCCCAAATGACGTGTGAGTGTTAGAGTTGTTTGGTATTGCTAAAAATCTCTCTCCCACCTTGAGCAGGCATCCACAGGGCATCCAACCATGAACGAGAACAAGTAATCTCCTCTCGAACGATGCCCGCCTTCATTTTAGCGCATGTGAAGCTATGTATGTATTTTAGGGATCGGCTCGATTGGACGGAGGGTGGACGCGTCCAGGGGGGGTCAGGGGGGGGTTCGAGGGGGGGGGGTATCCCTTCGACCAAAAGCGTGACAGCTGCGGAGGGGCTGGAGAGCGAGTCGTAACACATCGGAGCACATCGGAACGCCCCTGCTAGCGACGCCTGGGCGGCGATGATGCCGCAGGCGGCGACCGCGGAGCACCGCGGGGACGGCGTCGACCGGCGTAACGCCCACCACGAGCGATCGGCCCGCGAGAGGAGCGAGCGCGAGGCGGGAATGAGGGCGTTCGAGCCGCCGCCGGACGAGGAGGGGGCGGTGGAGCACCTGAGCGCGTCTGTCGTGCTCGCGGCGGTGGAGGAGAGCGGGCCCAACTACCTGCTGCCGAAGGCGCCGGAGCCGGTCAAGTCGCGCCGGAAGCGGCTCATGGTGGACGAGGCAGCAAGGCAGGCGGGTCAGGCGATCCTCGAGACGGGCACGCGAGTCGAGATCTTCGCGGAGGATTCGGGGGAGGAGAGGTGGTGGCCGGGGACCATCATGGAGCGGACGGAGGACACCGACGGCCGGCTCGTGCACCGCGTCCAGTACACCAACTTCGAGGGCGACCGGTACTGGCACGTGCTCGACGACGAGCAGTGGCGCAGGGTGGCGGACACGGGGCCAGAGCTAGAGCACGCCCGCGCTGGCGCTGGCGACGCGGCACTCCGCGACGGCGCGAGCTTGGCGGCCTCCAGACCAACAAGGTGGGACAACGCCCGGGGGGAGACGGCCGGCGGGGCGAGCGAGACGACCGGCGGGGCGGGCTCCGCCGAGACGACCGGCCAGGCGGGCTCCGCCCCTGACCTCAACTGGCCGGGGCGGAGGAGGGCGCGACGCGACGCCGCCATGGAGCTGCTTCGCACGCGGGACGAGGCCGAGCAGCGCGAGGCCAGGCGGCCCGACGACGCGCCCATGCTGTCGCAGCACAGCGCCACGCTGTCGCGTCAGCTCGTGATCGTGCGCCGCCGTCTGAGGGAGTACCTCGCAGACCTGGCGGAGGACAGCCTGTCGGTGCCGATGCAGCGCACTTCCCGCGGCCTTCACCCGACCATGCGGTGGACGGTCGAGTTCGGCAAGTGGCTGGCCACGACGCGGATCGTCGAGTCGAGGGCGTATAGCTGGCACCTGGCCGAGGAGCAGTCGGCGGGACAGGCGGAGGCGACGGCGCGCAGCGGCCGGGGGTCGAACACGGTGTACGTCGCACTGCAGCACATGAAGAACCACGTCTGGCGCGAGCTGTGGCCCGCGATGCCGGCCGACGCGAGGCAGTACTGGCACTGGGTGACGCGGCGCGTGATGGGGATCTTCGACGGCGGCGGCGGCGGGATGCGACAGGAAGCAGAGAAGGCTGGGAGAGGAGCGGGACAGGCGGCGGCGCAGGCAAGCGTCGCGCGAGGCGAGGGCGTGGAGCAGCAGCAGGCGGCGAGCGCGAAGGCGAGCGCGGACATGACCCGGCAGGTGGAAGCGAAGCTGCGCGCGGGGACGACCCGCCCGTGCACGAAGCAGCACCTGTTCCAGGCGGGGGAGTACCTGCTGCAGGACGCGCACCTCTCCGAGCCATTCGAGGTGAACGTGGCCTTCATCATGAGCGCGTACGTGTGCCTCGCGAGGCAGACCGGCTGCCGGCCCGGGATGACGATGAACGACGTGAACGACCTCGCGAACACTACCAGTCACTGGTGCGCACCCACCGCCAGCGGCACCCGTAGGCACGGTGGGGTGGAGGGCGCCCGAGGGCCAGCGGGGCGGGCGCCTGTTGCGATGAGGGACACGGGTGAGGTGGAAGGCGCCCGGGAGGCGAGGGGAGGGGGCGTGAAGCGACGCGTAGGACGCGGATTGATACCGCCGGAGGCGTCTCGGCCTCACCCCTCACCCCGAGCCCCGACGCGCGATGCGGCAGGCACGAGGTACCGCCGCTTCGGATGAGCGACTTGCGGATCGACATGGACAACGAGCTGGGCGGCGCGCTGACCGAGGGCGCGTTCCGGGCGCTCTGCAGGATGCAGGTGACGTTCAAGCGGAAGAAGGGCGAGTACTTCGCACACTACGCGTTCGGCACCTCGATCACCCCCGACTCAGATCAGATGCTGCGGATCGGGACCCTGGCGCTGCTCCGCCTGCTGTTGAGGTGCGGGAGCTTCCGCGGGTGCTATGCGCGGCTGAGCCGCGCCGACGCCGCGGCGCTGCGGAAGAAGGTGGCAGACCCACGCGGATTCGCCGGCCTCGAGCTCGAGGACACAGGCCACGAGAGCTTCCTCTCGCTGGTGCGTGCGTGCCGCGAGGACGGCTGGGTGCTGGACGAGGCGGCGCTGAGCCGGCCGCTCTTCCCGGCGGTGGACACCGCGACCGGGCGGTTCTTGTTCACAGAGAGCTTCCAGGTGAAGACGGTCTGCGACCTGCTGATCCAGACGGGCGTTTCGCTCGGCATGAACAGGCACCAGGTGGGCGCGTGGTCGCTCCGGAAGGACGCGTGCGAGCAGCCGGTCGCGGCGGGCGAGGGCGAGGTGGGTGCGAGGGTGCTGGGGCACCGGCACGTGAACTCGAGGACGATGGACCTTGTCTACCGCGCGGACCTGCGGACACGCGATCTCGGCGCGTACTGGGCGAGGCGGGGCCCGATCGAGAGCGTCGAGCGGGCGCCGCTGGACTCGCTCTCCGCGTCGCGGGTGCCTGAGGCGAGCGGGGTGCGCGGCGTGTGTGACCTGCCGGCGGGCTGCTCCGAGCGCGCCGAGATGGAGGGTTGTGCTGAGGTGTCGGAGGCGGAGGCGGAGCTGGACGCGGCCCGGCGCAGCCTGCTGGTGCTGCTCTCCGTCTCGACGCTGCCACGTCACTTCAAGGTGATGGCGCGCGCGGCCGGTCACGCGGCTTGCGCCACGTCGTATGAGGCGGCAGCGCTGCGAGTGCGTAACCGCCGGAACAAGGCGCGGCAGCGCGCGGTCGATGCGTACCGGCTGCGCCTGTACAAAGAGGGCCAGGAGCGGCTGCGCACCTCTCCGGCGCTGCGGCGCGCGATGATGTGCACGCACGAATGGGCCCCGCGAGGCGAAGACGAGGCGGTCGCGTTCGGGCTCGACCGCCGCGATCGCACGTTCGAGCTGCGTGCGCTGCGCGAGCTTCCCGCGCCTCTGCAGGGCTCCATCCTGCGAGCGGGCGCACTGCACGTGCTGCCCAGGGGACGCACGCGGCGCACGGCGTACGAGCACGTCCGCGAGCGCTGCGTCGGCCTATGCTCACTGGAGTGCGGCTCGGACGGGTGCGTGGGAAGTGGGCTGGAGATGCACTGGCCCGACTCGCCCGAGGAGTTCGAGGAGCTGCGCTGCGAGCACTGCGGCGCCGCGCAGGTGCGGATGCGATGGCGGCGGGAGGGGGGGGGCGCGGGTGCGGCCACGCTGGTCGCTGGGGAGCCGATGGCGGCGGGCGCGACGCAGGCTCTTGGCGCGAGCGACGCGGAATCGTACGGCGTGTGGTACGCGCTACGCGGCCGCGCGACGATCGGCAACGCGGCCTACGATGCCGGGGCGGCTGCGACGGTGGCGCCGAGTGCGACGACGGACAGCACGGACGCGGCATCCGACGAGCGGGAGCGGACGGGCGGGCGCGCGGAGATCGGGGGCGACGAGGAGGAGGAGGCGACGGGCCTGCACCCAGAGGACTGGATCGATGCGGAAGAGGCAGCGGCAGCGCTCGAAGCGCTGGCCGAGGTGGACACGCTGGATCTGGCCCAGGCGCTGCACGCCGGCGCGGCCACGGGGGGTGGTGCCTCCGACGGCGGCTCCCTGCCTCGCCGGGTGCTGCGAAGCGGCGCGCACCGGCAGCAGCACGGTGGCGACGGCGGCGGCTCGCAGACAGAGGACCTATCGTTTGAGGACGTCGTGCACCTGTGGGGAACGCCGAGCTCGCAGGCAGCGTCTCGGGCAAACGCGGGCGCGAGGCGCGCCTGAGGACATCGTGCACCTATGGAGCGCGCCGATATCGGACGTAGCGTCTCGAGTACATGCGGGCGCGAGGCGCGCCGAGACGACCAGCCGAGGCTGGGGAGGGAGGAGCGGCATGGCGCAGAGAGGAGAATGGCGTGCCGCGACGACGCTCGCACTTGTATACGTGTGGATGTGACTGGCGATGGGAGGGTTGCGCGTCGCAACGCGAGGGTAGACGTGTATGGCTCGCACGGTGAGCGGTTGGGAGAGGGAAGGGACCCCTCGGTGGCGAGTACATGACAAGGAGCGATCCGGCGCGTGCAACACAAGACATAAGCATGATACCGACGCCCCAAGGCTCGCAGCGGCGAAGCGCGCCGGGACTAAAAGGCGACTATGACAGAAAGTCGGCACGCAGGCAAAAGGAGAGGAAACACGTCAGCCGCGGAACGCTACACGCATCGATTAGCTTCTCGACGATGATAGTGCGCGGGATGTCGATCGTTTCCGGGATGATTTCCGTCGTTCGGAGTGCTACTGGGCCCCGTTGAAGCTGGAAGCCGCCGAGAGCACCCATTTTTTGGAACGACTCTTGAGCTCGACCCAAGCGGAAGTTTCCGGACGAGACTCAAGAACGTTAATGAGGGCTGCGAGACGGCACCGCAATTGTGGCGCTGCCATCGTTGGGATAGTCCCCACACCTCTCCTTGCTGCGCCCACGAGCACTTCTTTTTGCCTCTTTTAGGCACAAGTATTTTCGGGTCCTCTCCCGCGCCCGGCGGCAGACTCTTGCGCACATCGCCTAGAATGTCCCTCATCGCTACCCGCATCGCTTCCTTCGGCATGCTTGGGTAACGGGGGCGCCCTTCTCTCCACGCCCCACCCTCCCCCCCCTAGCATGTGGTGAAGCCTCTTGAGCCCCCCCCCCCCCCCCCCCTAGGGAGGGGGGAAACCCCGGGGGGGGCTGACCCCCCCCCCCCCCCCCACAAAAAGGGGGGGGGGAAAAAAAACCCCCCCCCCCCCGCGGAAG